ACACATACATTGCTATATACGAGTGCATACATATCTAATGTACCTGTAACTTGGTAATCGTATGTGGAAGTTTGTCGCTGCCTTTAGCTGCTTGTTTTTCAATGCATTTCATGTTGCATTACTAAAACACTGCCACTGTTGCCACTGACAACTGCTTCAATTCTCAACTGCGTGGTTTTTCCCAATTTCGTTTTTTTTTTTCTACCAACGCCTTAGTTGCTTTGTCGCATTTTGTTATCCTTTCACGTTGGCAATTGGCGTGCGCGCGTGTCTCACATTCGCCGCCGTCAACATGACTAACTATGTACATCCGTATGTTGCGCTGTTCTAGTTGTAGCTTTTAGTGCAGCACTTTCGTTATTCATAGGAGTTGGTACATATGTCCACATGTACATCATACATATATATGAGTATATCGTTAATACTCACGTACATTTTGTGCTGCCATGTTTGCTGCTACCAACCGCTAATAAAACAATTCTATTGAGGAAATGCCAGCGTGGAGTATGAAGTTGTATAAAGTGACACCTTTCTATGGTTTTAGTTTGTGTTTACTATTAGCTTATCCTTTATAAAGGGTGATTCAATATGACTGAAGATTTTCTTTAAAAAATAAAACACAAAAAATGTGTCGAAATGATTTTTTGATGTGTCTTAGCACCCAGTGGGTAAAATTGGCATTATGCAATTGCTGCTTGTGTGTACAAATGAACATTTTTCGATCGTTGCGCAACTATTTCGGGGTCATTTCGGAACCTGTTCCAAACTGTTTCTGGGCCATTTCGGGATTAGTTCGGGATCATTTAATTCCCGGACAGTTTCGGGACTAGTTCACGACTATTTGAAGACCATTTTCTGGAGCGTTTCGCGGCTAGTTCACGACAATTTCAAGAATATTTCGGGACTTCTTCGGAATCATTTTGTACCTAGTTCCGGGCTATTCTAAGATTATTTTAAAAATAGCTCAGGAGAACTTTGGACTAGTAAGGGACCATTTTGTTACCATTTCAAGACTTGTTCGACATCATTTCGGAACAAGTTCACAACTCTTTCAGAATCACTTCAGGACAATTTCAGGACAATTTAGGGTTGTTCGAAACAAGTAACTCAATGAACCTGAAATTGCCCTGAACTATTCCTGTAGAGGCTATGTAAAAGCCGTGTACTGGCCCCGTCAAAATAAGTAAAATGAAATGAAGTTAATGCTTAATTTTTAACCTAAACAGTTTATTCATGAAATTTCCTACTTTGCTTTTTAGTTCATATCGCGTATAATTTTGTTCTTTAGCTCTAGAAGCGGATCGGGCTTATTGGCATGGACCACAATTCACCTAGCCCCAGAGAAAGAAGTCAAATCGCAAGATCTTGGCGGCCATATGACCCCGCTTTTTCATCAGAAATTACGCTCTACAAGTGTCTCATCATGACAGTTCTTCTATATGGCGCAGAAACTTGGGCGATGTCGAACAAAAGTGAGAAGGCTTTGGGTGCTTTCCCGAGAGCTATTCTATGCAAAGTCTACGGAGCTGTTCGCGTGGATGACGGTTGTAGTCGAAGATGGAATGATAAACTGTATGAGTTGTTTAACGACATGGGCATAGTTCTCTTCTTCTTATTCGGCGCTGTAACCGCCTAAGCGATTTTGACTGACTTCAACAAAGCAGGCCAGTCGTTTCTGTTCAGTGCCAGCCGACGCCAATTGGAAATGCCAAGTGAAGCCAGGTCCAATTGGCCATCGAAGTGGGGGCTTCCCTCTTCCTCCGCTGCCACCAGCGGGTTCCGAGTTGAATACTTTCAGAGCTAGAGCGTCGGAGTCCATACGAGCATAGATAGCCGCACATAAGTATAGCGATTATGCTGGCTTGGACATGTTGTACGCATGGATTATGATGCTCCAGTGAAAAGATCCTTCGACTCCGCACCCATAGGTGGACAACGAAAGCAAGGGCGCCCACGAATACAATGGAGGAACCAAGAGCACTCGGGATGAGCAATTGGCGCAAATTCGTACAAAATGGAGGCAATTGGAGTAGCGTTTTGTTCTCGGCGTTAACCGAAAAACGGTTGTAGTGCCAAATAAGAAGAAGAAGTTTCGACAGATAATACATCTTGGTAACTTCTTTCGCAAAAGAACCATTGTTTCATGCGCTGTGTGGAAAGTGGCAGCGTCTTGTTGAAAGCACATATTGTTCAAGTCCAAGTCACGATAACGTTCACCGTTCGACGTATCATTTTCGAAGGAGTACGGTCCGATAAATCTGTCAGCCCAAAACCACACCAAACAGTGACTTGTTGTGGGTGCATAGTATTTTCGTGAATGACATTTGGATTTTAAAATGCCGCAGTTTTGCTTGTTAACGTATGCGTTTAGGTGGAAATCTTTTTCATCTCTCCTGATTGTTTTTTCGAAAAAAACGGTATTAGCTGCCTGTTGTTCAATAATCCAGTTGGTAAATATGTATACGGCGCGGCGCTGCAAATTGTCTTTAGCTCTTCTTCTTGTGTCAATCCGCGGAACAGTGCTGTAGGAAAGGTTCATTGCAGTGCACGACGACGAATTGACGTTGCGCAGCCTGGTCCAAACTTTACTTCCCAGCAGCAAAAATCTTGGGCCGAACGACCGAAAAATCACGCAATGCGCGAAATGCACTTCTTACAGAACAAATATTTGCAAAAACCATTGGGATCACTTTCACGCAGTTAAACTGAATAGCGCTCAATGACTAAGCTTGCGAAAGCCTGTAAAAAAACAAGCAACATTAAAATATAAAAAAATTGCTCTAGGCCGATAGTCCCTGCTGCTAGTTGCCTTAATTATGTAATATAATCATTTATAATTATATTTCATGTAAATAAATAAATAAATAAATAAATAAATAAAAAAATTGCTATCAAAAGTCTACACTACTCTTGAACCACCCTTTACATGTGGTTGCGTGTGCGTGGCTGCACGTTTAACAGGAACCAGTTACATGTTTGCATGAATGGTTCGCAATTCACACGTTTCTTCTATGTTCTGCGTATATTTACATATATGCAAGTGTTAACATTTTTTACAAAGCACAACAAGGATAGTGTTTACCAGCACGTTGGTTATGTTCTCACGAGTATCATGAAGGATTCGAAACGGCTTTAAAAAGCCAGCAATTTGTGACTAAGTGAGAATTCGAAAGTAGAATTATAAAGATTTAGACACTCGATCAAACCTTTATCGAGCCTGAATTGCCGGCCACTGTATCCGTGTGGTTAGAGGTGCCAACTTCCACTCTTGAGAGGAACATCCCAATGGTACCCACTCGGTAGGCCATGAAAGGGCTTCTAATTATGTATACCCATGTATGCCTTCTACTTTTCCATCTCCAAGACCACTTGACCCCATATAGTCGAAAAACTGTGCGCCTTTACGTTTTTTTCCCCAATATTTCAATATATATTTTCTTTGAGTAAAATGAGGACATTTGACTAAGTGCTTAGAAAGTCGATTTATAGTTTTCTATGTTAGTGTTCAGTGGAGCTGTTCTCCAACGAGCTAGCGAAAATTTCCGGTACGTCAATGTTAGATGCAGACGTGCGTTATGAATTTAGCAAGTTTGCGATAGCACTGTGAATATCCCCATAAATCTCCAGTTAAAATGACTTTCGCTATCAAACCTCGACTGAGGACTAATTGGGAATAATGTTTCAGAAATAAAGCTGTTGGTTTGCATCTTCAATATTTATTTTACGCTTTTAATTTTTTTTAAAATATCTGCTAATAATATCTTTTGGAACCCATTTTATTTAGCTACATAAGCAGGTAGTTACTATTTACCCTGCTCATGTGCTGCATACCCATGTGCATTAAATTTCAACTCCTTAGCAGTACTCAAATGCAATATGTTGCTCTCACATTCCATTTGTAGAAAAAATTAGTTAATTTAGTTTGTGCTCGCAGGTTTGTTGTCCAAACAAACAGGAAATAAGTAACAACGTGCCACACCCTTTGCTTCAAATTGCAATAGAAATAACACTAGATAATTAGATTACTTAAAACTTAGTGCAAGCGCACATAAATACATTACTTAAGCTTAGTCACACAACTATGTATGTACTTACAAATAACGTTGTATTATTTACTCCGGTAATTCTTTGCTTGTCCTGTGTCACGGAAGTAAACTTTTGTCTATGCCACCTGCGCACTCAGATTACTAACAAACTTTTGTGCATTGGCTTCATTGTCGGCCAGGGGAGTAAGTATGTAGTAACATGGTCTTGCACGCATGTGTGGCATAATTAGATTTATGCTTTGTGTGTATGTCAGACAAGCGAAACGAACACGCTGTCGGAATAAATGAAGGCATGTCAGGGATCCAACATAGAGTGTGCTTTGGGTGAGATGTGTGGAAGCTGATAATTTTTGCTGGCATTGCGATTACTTAATAATAGTTATTGTGCGAAAGTTGGATGCTTAGAAATCTTTTAACTGAAAATTGGATTTGAAAAGTAGAGTTCTCAGTTACCTACTTTTGTCAATACTGATAATTGAGAAAATGATTGCAAGTAATATCACAAACTCAATTATGACATGTACGTAGTACAATATCGATAACGAAGTTGTCAAAGACCTCTTTGAAGCAACCAGAGCGCAACTAATGGTCCCTCGGTGGACTCATGGATCCAACCTACCATAAAAATTAAGGTTTCGATTAGGAAGGATTGCGGTAAACGGTGGGTTAGGCTAGATTATTGTGGCTGCTTTAATCCAACGTTGAAAGGAGGCGCTCTTCGGCCACCATTCCCCGGCCCATTGGTATTCCCTAAATGAGTATTATTTTATTCTTCGTTTCTCTAGAAGTTAAACCAATTCGTGGTTCTGATGAAGATCACAAAATCATAGATAATAGGCGTACTCAGCTCTTTCATACAATTCAGAACATAGTTATGGAACAGATATCAACGGACCTTCGCCAAGAGGGGCTATACATTCTCGATTTCCTCTACATCTCGGCGAATTGGACAGAATTAATTCGACTGTTTGAATGCATCGCCATCAAGAATTGGCCACTAAAAAGCCGGATGGAATTTAAAACCATTGGTTGTACGATTCGGTAGTGTGATCCAGATTTTCTCTTGTCATATTTAGGCCATATATGTCGTGATGTCCTACATATACACATATACATGATACACCATGGTGGCTTTTCAGTCATACTGAGTGAGTAGTGTTCCTCCAGGTAAGTTCATTTAAAGCAGACAACCGCGGCATGAATGGCTGTAAAAATAAATGCCTACTGCATGCAAGCTAATTTCCAAGCGGGTGAAGTGCGCTTCTCACGAATAAAAGCTGCATAAATTTGGCAACCGAAAACTGTGCTTGATTGATAGCTCTTGTATGTATATCGGTCTTTCCCCTTGAAGTCTTATTTGGAGCCACTGTACAATACAATAAATGACCCGACAATCAGAATACAGACCCAAGTCTAGATTCTCTTCTTCCTTTGCTACATTTTAGTAGGCAACCAAATTACACCGAGTAAAAGATCAGTGCTGTATAGTCTGTGCACTTGAAATTTGCCGGAAGATCTGACGAAATACTGCAGTGTCTGTACTTTGTATCAATCATCGCATTTAATAATACTGCATTGCAACTTTCTTGTGGCTACTAGTTTATATATCTCGCTTAAAGACTGTTATAGGCACTTTGTTCCAATCTTAGACACTAAACTTTTAATAAAAAAAGCTATAAAAGCACTTTCAGTAATAACAGTAAATGCGAAGGAGTAATAAGCAGCTCTATAATTTCACAATAGAACACTAATAGCATAATTCTCTAATAGCGGGTAATTTTCGCGTATTTGCCCCTTTACGATAGCTCACCTAGAGGTAATTAAAGTCAATTGCAACACTTTTCCCAGCACAAAATAGCTCAATTATTAGCAGTGCACTAATTGGAGTTATAAGTGGAGGTGTTGCTGGTCGGGCAAGCTGCTGCAGTTTACGAATTTTACAACTTATACCGAACGCGGCGTACAACAAAGGTTTTTCTTTACTTACTTCACTCTTAATCCTTCAGGCTTCAGACTTTTTCTTGTCGTGCTTGACTGCATTATGGCCGAGTGCATACAAATAAATATATCTCTATACAAGTATATATGTATGTATATAGTATTGCTCATTTGGCACCTTTGAGTGACAAGGCAGACAGTTAAAATGTAGGGTAAGCGAATGGTTGTACAACTAAAATTGTATTGCAACAACAACGATGAAGTTAGAGTTTATTGGTGTGAAGTAGACGAACGGATGGGGGTGGCGTCTTTGTAATTAAGCGGAACAATTTACGAGCTTCTCAGTGTTGCTTACTGATGAGTTTCTCTTTTTTTATCAGAGTTTAGATATGATTATTTATTTTTAATTATATGATACATAGAAGAAGCGGGTATAGAATACCTGGAATCTGTTAAGAGGAATTTAAACCAATCACTACGCCATTAACATTCATAACCATAATGAGTGAGACATACATAATATCACATAAGGCAGTTTTTACACTGGAGAGTTAACTTAAATCTGGCAGTTAACTTCTTAAATAGTATTCTTTCGAAAGTGTGAAATTATCTGAGCGAATTTGTGTTAACTTCCATCTGTTAAAACTGTTCTAAAGATTTATAGTTGATGAGCGCGGTTAGTAAGCCTTGATGCTTTATCCCATTCACAAAAGTAACTAACAAATTTTTAAAAATCTGTGAAAGCTCTAGAAACCGAAAGCTCAAAACTATTGTTCTAAGCTTTGAAAAACCATTAATATTTATAAAACTGAGAAAATTCAATAGAAGCAAAGTGTTACTGGCCGATACAGGTAGAAAGCTTTCTTATATTAAAAGCTTCTTCGAAAATAGGTTACGAGTTCTGAGTAACTTTTCGTGAGTTCCAAACATAGAACCTCAAACAAAAGAACCGTTGATAATTCTAATACCTTTTATTTTTGAAAACATTTTAAGCAGTTGTTAACATGCACAGAGGAGGAAAACCTTTCTGCGATTGTCAGGTTTTTATATGAACACATACATAGTAAAAGATCGCGCTCTTCAAACTTTGTATATATATATTTTTTTGTGGTAAAATTCATTCTGCCCATAACTGCTCTTAATTAACGTTGTGCAGAGACAGCATTTTTCCTATACCGGTACGAGTTTATTCGCATCTATGGTATATCCAATTTACAAAAGGCTTACAAAAACTAGGCAGCGTTTTCATTAAAAATCACCTATGCTTTTAATTTAACAATAAGTTTCTGAAGCTTTTAATAAAGTTTTCGAAATTTCAAGTTTTAGGAGTGCTGAACTTGCGAAAAGTTCCTAAGTTTTTTTTTTAATTTTCACTATCTCTAAAAACTTGTAAAACAGTTAAAAGCTTTGCAGACTATAAGCTTGGAAATGTCAGAGTTGACTTCTTTCAAAAACTCCAGCTTAATTTTAAATTTTGTTTGAAAGCTCTCTTATGAACACTAAAACTGAAAGCTCAAAATAAAGCAGTTTAAACTGATTTTCTTTTCACCATCTTATAATTGATTATCTCTAACTAGTATGGATTCCATGAGTGGGTTACATATCTTCTTACGTGTGCATTTTCACTGATAGTAGATTTACCAAAGCTAAAAATAGGTGTCGCCAGCAGCAGCAAAATCAGCTCATTGCAATCCAAATGGCCAGAATGTTAAATAGTTTGAAGATAGTGGGATTCTGATCGCGAAGCTGTTTGCGGCATTCACAATCGTATTCACATTCACATTTAATGATGTTAAAAATGGATGATAAAGAAGAATGAATATCGCCAGGCTTTTTCTCGTAGCCACAACGCATTGCATGTCGTCTATTACGCGTATATGTATTCGTAGATTTGTGGCTCTTTAAATGAACATATCCTGCCACGAATGATTGAAGACATCACAACACAACACACATGCTCACACACACACACGCCCAAGCTAACACAAATGCAGCTCGTAACCACAAAATTACCGCAAATGCAGCAGTTAGCTAGCAGCCTTTGTGCTCTCGACTATTCTGGTTGCAACGCATTTTTTGTTGCTCTGCTTTTGTGAAAATCGCAAGTACTTACTTATGTAATGTGCTTTGCTTTGTTGCAAGATTGATTGACATGCAACTCCAACATTTTGCTACATTTACTGCTTGCACAAAAAGTTTTAAAATTAAGTGCCACGGGAAATTAGCTAACGAAGGGTTAATGTGTGCTAAAGTAGTGAAGTGCTTGAAGTGAGGAAAAGAATGTAGGAGGTTTAGACGGGGCGTATACGCAACTAACAAAAGAAGTAGCAGTCTGATGCCAGCACGAGCTCATAGTGCACTCCATCTACTCCTCTTTTGCCACAGTTCACGCAATTTCTGATACGGTTGATTGTCGATATTCTGTTATCAATTATTTTGCTGCTTAGCTAGTTAGCTGACAGTGTTGCAAGTTTTGATCAAGACAAGTTGATGTCACAAAAATTTGGGCTTTAGCAGAATTTCTGCGCGTGAGGTAAAAAGCACAGTACGGAGGAAGGCTGCTTTGCAACTTCTGCTTTGAAAATTCTTTAGCACTTCTTTGACTATGACATTAAACTTTTGATTCTTTTGCCTTTAAGTGAAGTTGAAACTCCTCCATTTTATTTTCATTGAAATATTTAGACAACTCACTATAATAAATAAAATATAACTATAAGGTTAAAATTCCGATATTCTATAGTTTTATTATGGCTGTAGAAATGCCAAAAATTAAAAAAAAAAACTACAATGAAAAAAAAAAATTATGTGTCATTATTGTACCTTGGCTCTTGAAGGATTTCAGTCTTTAACACAGTATCGTCGATAAGAACTTATACGCAATATTAAGAAGGCGTATTCGGTGGAAATTGGCGCAAACAGCGGGATAACCCATCTTGCGAATTGGGCGCTGACATTGCCATGCTCCCTACCTGCTCTTCGCCGCCACCTTTGAACAGCTAAGCCGGTAAACCACTCCACTCCAGTGGCTTTGTTATTTATCAGCCGCATTTTTGCTGTTCCCACCTTGTTTTGGTCGTGTGGAAACCCGTAAGTAAGCTTCATGCTTGTTCATTGGCTTGGGATATTCTTCATTAAACGCGCCACCTGTGCCGGCATTCAAAAGCGTTGCCAAGTGTTCTTTCCATACCTGAAGTGTACTCTGGACGTCTGCTTGTTGCTTTATTTTCTGATAGAATTTTTGAGCAGCATCTCAAGCTTTGCGTATTCACATCTATCTGTCTCCCTTTTATTCTTCCTGGGGTGACGTCTCTGTTTTCCCAATACCGCTACGCGCTACGAAGTGATACTAGTCATTTTCGTGTATCTAAAAATGAAATTATTTTAAGGAGATTTTAACAACTACGTAAATTCAAGCATATATGTGTTTATTAGGTCGGCCTAAAATATCTTATTTCTAGGCCCGCCTCAAAACTAAAAAATATCAAAAATAAGGAGACCGTATTATTTTTTGCTTTAAAAGGGTTAATATTTCACAGTGCTGCCGAGGCTCTGAAGCTTTCCATATACTACTTTATATCCGGAAAGTACATATTTTAGACAAAATTATTACAAATTCTTTTTTTTTTATCGCATGAAAATATGCTCCTTTAAAAATTTTTAAGCAATAAAATTATGATGCATTCTTAATTACATATAAATTTTATAGGTAACTTTTCATAACCGTCCAGCCGAAAATTTTCTAGACAAAGCCTTGACTCCATCTAGACTCTGGCTAGATTTTCGCAACTGAGAATTTCGCGACAGTGTCGAAACAATTTTTTTTTTCCATTTTCCGTTATTGCGTATAACAATGTAAATTGTTAAATGTTAAGAAAAAGCAATTGCTTAGTTTTTATTCATACGACCCAATGGAAGAAAAAGGATTTTTCTTGCGCACGGAGGTTAGAAAAACGCATTTGCATCCCAGAAACATGAAAGCACATTTTTAACACACAAATAATCCCAATTTAAGACCCCTCTGTAACTCAGAAGAGGATCTTCAAAATAAAACGAAAAACGGTTATCTACGTATATTTACATAAAAGGGCCTGTCAAGCAAAATGCATTTGTGGCTACCTAAACTTTAAGTATAGACTTTGGTCAGGAATGTAGGGAAGGGCATATAAAGAATTTTCTCAAATTTTCTGCCTAGCGCTTGTCCAAAATTAAAATTTATTTTCGGCCGGGTGATAATATCATCTCTTACATACAAAAGTGCGTTATTTTGTGTGTTATTCCCATGTAAAATACATGCAAATCTTAAAAGCTAAGTGGAGAAAAACTGAAAAATTCGTTGTCTGCTAAGTGAACTTGTTTGGTATTTTTGTAAAGGTATATTATCCACTAAGAATAATTAAACAGAAATTTCCCTAAGGAATAAATTATATGTCGCCAGAAAACCATTAAAGTAAAAAAAAATTTATACTAAGAATTTTAGTCAGAGCATAGACATGGGTAAGCTCTCCACGGCAATAAAAGCCAAAAATACTTATATTCTTTGAAATGAAATGTTGGTTTGGTTTTTTATTTCCATATATACAGCGGAGAACTGCATGAATAAATATTTTGGAATAAAATTGAACACAGCGTGTTCCGACGGTATTCCAGAAAAAAACTATTTATTTTGATAAAAATTTCAAAAGATGGTCACTTTTAATGGAATGGATAAAAAATATATATGTAAAAATATGTTATTGTTTATTATGTATTTTATTTAGTAGTACGGTTTTGTTAACTTTCGCAGGAGAAAATAAAAAACCTGCTCACTTTTTGAAGTAATCCGTAATGTTAAGGCATAAAATCATTTTCTTTTTTCAAAGTTTGTCAGGGCCATCAGGTCTGCATGATTCGTTTGATTATTAAAAATGTCAGATTAAAAAGCTTGACCTGTAGATAATATAAGTTTATTTTTTTTAGAAAGTTGCCGCCTTTTAAAATAATAAATTCAAATTAGTTGGGTATCAATCGAAATGGGTATAAAAAGTATTTGTTTCTTTACTACCTGTATGAGGTTTGCCACCTGTTTAAAAAAAATTAAATTCCATTTGGATTGAGGGAATTAGGTAATTGAAACAGATAGGTATCACCACATAGAAGTCAGACGAAAGAGGTTTAAGAAGGTTTTAGCTTGCAAATGTATTAAAGTGGGCTGTCACCAGTTTGTAAAGTAAAATTTAATATAAACAAAATAATACTTGAAATGAAAGGTTTACACCATCGTATTCCAGTTAAATACTCCCCTTAATTAAATTGAATTAGACTTTTTATACAGGTTGCAACTCTTCTACGTGTGGTTTAAAAGTAAAGGATTTGGAAAACCATTTCGATTGATACCGGTATTGTAATATCTAATTCACTGAACTTATTAAATAAGTTTAATGCAATTCTTAACACATGGCAGCACTCGTCAGAAAAATAAATCTGTAATTTGACACTATGAACTATATGTACATATCCAGTGGGAATATATAATGTATAGTAATCGAAAAAATAATCAGTAAAACAACACTTTCACATTCGAAAATGCATTTTTTTCCCAGGCCGATGTCCTAAGAAAAGTGGGGCATTCAATTTACCTAGTGTCCTACCTAGCATTACCTAGTGTCGAGAAATGAATGTGTTTTATTATGAAACTTTTTGAATACATAGAGAATGCTGATTGCATATTTAGCAGTAATATAATCGAGAACTCATAAGGAATACGTTATATTATTTACCACGCCTATAATGCATTACTACTTTTCCGACTGGGTACCTATGTAAATGCTATCTACAAGAAATCATTTTTTCATCTTCAAACGGCATTTACAGTGAAAGTATGAAAGTTATTTAAAAACAAAGAGCATTTGTGAATTCATCGTCGTCAATTTCACTAAAAAACAAATATTCATAAAAATCCGTCCATAATTATATTTTGTCCACATTTTATATGGAAGGGTAGCACTGTGCGGCGGCACGGTTAAATATTAACCGAATTCAAAATAAAAAATACGCTTCACCTTATTTTCCATTTCGTGGAAGAACGAAAATACTAAAACCGTTGATTTTCCTGTGTATTTGTGAATAACCCTAATGTATAGGTATACTTACAATAGTTCCACAATTTGTTCAACCCTCTAGAAGTTTAAGTCCTTGCCTTAGATTGTCATCCAGTTTGCGAGGAAAGTCTTGTGTTTCACAAATTGGGGGAACTCAGTTTTACGCTGCTTCTGAACGGTAAATGCCTTTAATAAAAGCTTTTTTCATTGCCTCCAAGTAGAGGGGCGACCGGTTTAAAACTGATTTTCTTTTTGTTATTGATCTGTCCAGGTTATGGGGAAGCTTTTTTTAATAGCACCAAATTTTTGTAATTTTAATGCTACGTTATTTGATATCCTCTTTCAACAGAAAGCGCAGTTCTAATTTGCGAGTTCATTAGTTCGCGCCAAATCCGTCGTTATTAATATTTGTACATTTGTTTTTATTCCGTTGCAATCATTTAGATATGCCCGTGTAAATACATACATACGTGTAAATATATTTATGTCGTCTACTAAATAGTTGAACAGAAAAATTATTCAGAAAGCTCATTTACTTGTATGGAAAGATTTCCTTTTAATTCCGGGTTTGTTTATTCAAGCGAAATTGATAATTTGTTGAGGCCTGCCTACATGTGCACATTAATGTGTGAATGTAATAAGCTGCAGTTACATTTAAAGCCTTTTTATGATATCATATTTCTGTTGAAATCAAAAATAAATTTATTTATGCAGAAGTAAACTTAAAGAAACTTAAAGAAACTGAAGTATGTAAATATTTCGTTGAAGATGAATCGATTTAAAATTAATTTTTAATTAACACACATAGATAAGTATTTACTAATGTGCATGTAAAATAAAATTACGATTGAAACTAGTTTTGTGTGCGCCTCTCCTCTTTAATTCTTCTTCTTGTTGGGCACTCTAACCGCCTAAGCTATTGTAGGCGAGTTTAATCAATCACGCCAGCCGTTTCGTTCCTCTGCCAACTGATGCCAAGTGAAGCGAAGTTCTTCTCCAATTGTTTTTTTGCTGGCAGATGAGGCCTTCCTCTTTACGTACTGGGTTTTAATTATTTATCGAAGAAACCCTCTTCTACATTTAGTAGCAGTTCTTACAAATCTCTTCATTTGCTCCAGGCCTTTGACTAGAAATAATTTCAATCTGTTTTCCTGCTAAAATTCTAGAAATACATTAGCTATGTACATATGTATGTATGCATAGTTTACAACCATATTGCAACTACAGCTAAGCCTTCTACCTTCTTCTGAAGCATTAAGAAATGCGGAAGAACGCAAAATACCACAACAATATAACACAAATTTGCTATGCTTTTATTAAATTTGATTTCCATAGAATAATATACCAAGCAAACCGCCCACACAACTCTATGCAACTATAAATGCTTTTTTGTTGCTGATATTTTATACTTGTTTGTTCTTCAAATAAATGTTCTTCTCTTTCTTTGCAGGTATGTAATGGAATATATTTCAAAGAAAATTAATTAACTGCCAGCAGAGGCTCAGTTACGCGCTAACGCCAACTTCCATACAATATGTATATGAATATATATACATATGCATGTACATATGGAATAGGGGTATGTACATATTTACATGTTATATTCATTAAATATGTGTTTAATATATAAGTACATATATTTTGCGAATAAGTCAGTAACAAATTTCACGAAGTTACTTTCTCATACATATGGGTCAATCCATGTGAAATTGACCCAAGGTTGGAATCGACTACTTTTTTTGGTCAGAACTTTTCTTTTATCACATAACCAAGTTCTGTCAAAGGAAAAAAGTTTTTTTTTTTTTAATATCTCAAAATTATTATATTATCTCGTGTCAAAGGAGCTATTTAAGGCTATATAAAAATATATTNGTTTTTTTTTTTTTTAATATCTCAAAATTATTATATTATCTCGTGTCAAAGGAGCTATTTAAGGCTATATAAAAATATATTAAAAAAAAAATCGAATTAAAGAATTACAGAATTTTGAAATTTAAAAAATCGTACAATTTTATATTTTTAATATTGGACTATTGGTACAAAATTAAAAAAAAAATGGACGAGCATTTTTTTATAGTCACACGATTGGTACAATACCGCGAACTTTTGTATATTGAAATATTTGAACAAATTGTTTTTCGTGATTGTGATAAAGGAAAATATTTGTGCATTCAAACGATTGACACTGCCTTAAGAGCATAAACTTATGCATTGTATATACATTTTTCGTTGATTTTTAGGTTGACTTTTTTTAAGATATGCATTTTTGCAATTTGAGAAAAAAAATAGTAATTGCAATAACCAAATTAAAAATAAATTAAAATTAAATAAAAGTTCTTCAATATAACTTTATTTAGAGTTTGCAAATACAGATTTCAAAATTCAAAAATCCACCATGTTTAAAATTTTAGCATCTTTTAAAATCAGTTGGAGTTATTGTATAAAAAAATCGAGTTTTTGCTTTTATATACTTTTTTTAATTCCAAAACTGTAAATTGTTTTTAATTTTCGAATTTTTAATAAATTTATGGCTTTTATCGTAAAAAATAAAGCAGCTTTAAAAAAGGTTTATAAACTAAAAAATGTATGAAAAATAATATAATTTTATAAAGCTCTCTAAACCTATTTTATTTTTTTATGAATAAGGCCATTATTCGTTATATCCCTTAATACGAGGATCACCTTTCATTTTTGTAACTGTAATAAATTTTGAGATATTGGAAATTAAACGTTCAAACTTCTGGAAATTGTGAAATTTATATTCTTGAATAACTTGTAAAAAAAAATTTAATATTTTTCCTTTGGCAGGACTTAGGTATATAATAAAAGAAAAGTTATACAAAATTCCGGTATTCTACCATGAACACTTGCAGAGATATGCAATATGAAAATTTCGGTTTGTATGGGAGGTGCCACTGCCTCTTCACTTAGCGGAATGAAATATACTTTGCAAGCTATTCTCATACCTAGCAAATATACACACAAAATTTAATACAAATCGGTCAAGCCGTTTCGGAGGAGTTTTGACACGAGATTTTTTATATATTATCGGTTAATCGGTTTTATTTAGATTGGCCTGTTTGAGTCAAATCTAATAATTACAATTGAAATTGCATGAATATGAGTATGAACAATACTCAAATGACGTAAAATTAATATATGCTTACAGTCTCGGATATCTTGATTGATCCTAGAAAATTGTATTGACCTCAAAATAGAACAAGTAATTTTTTACGTGTTATTTCAATGAGAAAAATAAACGATCGATCCTCTTACAATTATCGTAAAGAGGGTAGATTCAGGGAGGATGATTTAAATACCAAATTCTAAAATTTGAGTCAATTTCCGGTCGCATTGCATGTCTTGGTTTAATTTAAATACAACCTTGGAGTGTTCTATAAGAAGTACTTTGCCCTCTCTTAGCCATATGCGCTGGCGTGACGTTACAAAAAACAGAAGTGGATTTTGACATGGGTTATAAAATTGCATAACTCTGCGAATTGGGAAAGACTATTTGTATCTATTAACTCTTTTGTAGTAATATTTGAAATGTTTAAGGTTAATTTTCCAATTTTTTAAATGCAAACATCTTTTCTGATTATTGTCTAAGGCTTAGACTCTAAGCAGCTGAAGTACCTGGCGTGACTTTACATGCCGTTACTAAAATTACCATTGAAAGAGTGTTGTTAACATTGTAGGTATATAAAGTAATATTTAATGAGAAACTTGACTCACTGCTGGCTTCGCATTACATGCTGGGAAGAAATACTGTGAATAATATGATTCACATTCAATGGTTTTCTTATCAAACTAAAACTTATTTTTGTTAGTTTGAAAAAGTAAAACTTAAACATAAACATATATACATATCAAAGAAAGTAGTGCGGAGAAAAAACGTGATTCACGTTAATGAAATAAAATACTATTGTTATTAAACGGCGTTTCTTAAATTTGTTTTTGATAATCAAATAGTTGCAGGCAGTCAAATTGAGCTAATGTAAATACTGTAAAAATTAATTTATATGTATGTACATATGTAGGTGCATACATATGTACATACCCTGCAGGGAAAGCTACTAAATATTTGTAAACTATAATTCTATCAGTTTGCATTTCAGCCCAAATAGTTCACGTTGTACAACTATTCAATGTTAACGACTGGTATTTTTAACATGGCGGTGTCATAGGAGATGTCAATTGTCCGCTACTGCATCAGCTGCCTACCAGTAGAAATACTAGTAGTATCATACCAGTTAACTGGATAGACTTATCCCCCGTAAAAAGCATAACTGCTCGCAGCGCTGCAACAGTGGCAATGGCCGACAGAGCAAAGCTCTCTCGAATGGCGCAAGAGATCCGAGTTCGAATCTCAGACGGCATTTTTTAATTTTTTATTTTTTTTGTATTATTTATTTATTCTTATGTCTTTTATGTAATTCTTAAATTGTATTGTTTTAAAAAGAAAAAAAATATTTCATTTAATTTTGTATGACATTTGAGAGTATTTGGGTTTTTTCCAAATGAAATTATATTTTAAAATTTTTATTTTATATTTTAATTGAAATAATTTAATTACTTTACTTTAACCACCTCCAAGCGGATTCGAACCCGAGATCACAGAACCAGAATCGGTAGCAGTGTTGCCATTTTGGTGCTTTGGGAGCTAGATTTAGCTCTTTATTTTTCTATTTAGCTCCGAAAATTAGGCTTTAGCTTCTACCTCTTTTTTTAGCTCTTTTCAAAATTATCTAGCACTTTTTGGCCTCAGAAAGTTTGAGTTGTATTTGGTAATATATTAAAATTAAACATCAACGATATTCTATTTTGATTAATACTTAGAAAAGTTCCAAGTTCCAGTGACATTCCCTTGAGGAGAACCGGTATAACTATAGTCCATGACGAACTGTTATGACTTCCAAATTTATTATCAGTTGTCCAACTAGAATTTCTACCAAGTAGTTTACTTTTTTCTACGAGAACCTGGTAAGATAAGGATAAAATCCTTAAATAATATTTCATGAACTGGAATTTTTGCATACTGATTCAGCTTTTCACTGCAGAGTATACATAAAAACTAGTGCAATTAATCGCATTACTTACATCAGCCAATAGCAGCGTGAATTAGTTAGCTATGTACATACATACAATTCGCATATACGAGTACCGGTACTTATGGCTATAACAACACAAAAAGCTTACAAACACCGCTGACAAATGAAGACCAACTCAAAAATGTTTGCTATGAGTATTGATGTACTGATTGCTTTATTAACTGATTACTTAAGTAATGTTTCAACAGAAAGTGAACAAAAGTAGCAATAAATGAGTTAGCAGCCTAAGAGCTGTTGTTGTAGTCATCCACTAATTTTTGCGTTCCATTTTCTTCTAATTTGATATTTTAAAAGTTACAGCTTTGTTCAAGACCAGTTTTTGTCGGTTTGTGCAACACAATGCCAAATTAGGCAATGCCAAATGTGGCTGCTACTTTGTTGACTGATTATAAGTTGACGCAAGTTTGTCGTCAGCTTGCATCAGCCGAATTGTTGTGCAAGTAATGAGTGCTTTTTGCTTGCAACGTGCTCTTTTGATACATATACTATATATATGTATGTAAGCAAATTAAAACGCAGTAACTTACTGGATATCAGCGGCTATGGCAAATGGTGGCCACGCTCTGGGGGAAACGTTCAAAGTCAATAACGCTCTTTTAAAATTTTACTTGCCTGAAGTATTTTGTCTGCTATCGCTGCTCCGTTGATTTTTCTATTGCATGAGATTTTATTTTATTTTCATTTTGTTTCTATTAACCACTTCATACATATTTGAAACGAAATGTAACTTTTGAATCGACAAAGAATTTAGTTTTTTTCTTATTTTGTGAAAATTTGCAAAAAAAACATATTATTTCGAATATTTTTTAAGTTTATTATTTACCATCTATTTCGGTTTTTTTTTTTTACTTTCAACAAGGAAAATGAAAATTTGGCTAATGTCCCTCGGTTATAAAACAAATTTTCAAATCTCAAATTTATAAATCTTTAAAATTTTTTACACATGAAATGAGATAGGTCTTAAATGCATTTTTAATGTTGGTCACAAAATGACCTGAAGAGAAATTAATGTGTATAGTAAGTTTTTCTGTAAAATAAAAATATTCAAAACACAATCCACAACATTTTTTAAAATAACTTTGAAATCAATGCAATGAGTAGCGAAAAAAATGTTGAAATTGTGTTTAAAAAGAAAATTGAATCTGCAATCGTATTAGCTTATTGAAACACAAAAAACCGCTTTGACGAAACAATCTAAAGGTGCAAAAATGGTTCGCACCGCTGAACCGAACCGAGCAAAATTTTCATCCGATCCATGTCCCTGGTTAGACTCAATCAGAGAAAGAATATGTCCTAAGGTGCTTTCAGACATACATACCGTTGTGTTTATGAAAATAGTTCTGCAGCGCTCCTCACATTTAATATTTTTATATATCTAACGGAGCTAATGCGATGTTTCTACGATTCGTAATTCTCTCTCTAAGTAATTCGTGAATTACCGTGTTTCCACTACGCACATTCGTAATTCGTTTGGCAGCTCTACTTCTTGTTCTTGTTCTTCGCTATTTATTATTATTTTTGTGTACTGCAAATATCGAAGATGGAGCAAAAATTCAAGTTATTATAAAAGATTTTAATTTATGTAGAGAATATTTTTTTATTAATTTTTCAGCAGCTAGAAAAAGTGCCAGGAAATGGAACCAGGCCGTGAAAACTTTGATATATTTCCGATAAATATTAGAGAAGGAACTGATTCGTTCGTCATTCGCATGGTAATTCTATCTGAATTACCTACAAATGAGGTAATTCGCTCTCAAAATTTTGTATGGCGAATTACGTAATTCGAAGGCGAATGACGAATGGGAAAGCGAGTTATGAATAAGAGAGCGAATTACGAAGCGTGGAAACGTCGTATAATATATACGTAGCTACAAATGAAGTTAACATTTCTTAACTCGTTAGTGCTACCATGGTCTACTTTCAGCTGCTCTACTTACGTATTTTTCAAAGTACTCCACCAGCTGCTCTAAATGAGCTATAAAAAAAGTTAATGGTAGCGGAAAATACACATATAAGAGGCTGCAGGATAACAGCAAAAAGAAGCATACAAATAAGACATATATCTGTGGTCATAAGCAATAACCGTCTAAGTCGACTTAAGAAAGAATTGAGTTATATATGCTATCGTATTCTACAACTACTACTCCATTTGTATGGGAAATTCCCATCTCGCCTGCTAGGCTATTTAAAAAGTTATAGACGAACATATTTTGGTTTCCTCATAAGGATAATATTACGATCTAAATGTTTAAAAAGTTTTTTCTCGAATTCAGGTTTTTCGACTTAGGCGGTTATTGCTTATGAGCACAGATATGTACATAGTTACATCCTCGTATGGAGAATCGCAACACTACTAGTTTTCTGTCTGGTAATATAGCGGAAATTTGCAGTTGCGTAGTTTGAGATGCTATTTTTTTTTAATTAAGTACACATAAATACTTTACATTTTTAATCTGTGTCAATAATTCAGCGCGCATATCTAACCTTCTCACATCCTTTACCCAGTTGCCTACAGTCGAATTGAGTAAAACGCATTTTCTGCATGACACTGACCAACTGAAATTGCATTTAAAAATAGCATATTTTACTTCCGTTTGTAGAGTTTAAATGACGTTTTAGCAACTAATGCGCAGTTTAGTACTACGCTACCAAAGCATATCTACATAAGTGTAAATGCATATGTACATACATATGCACGAACATAGTGACTGCAAGCATGAATGCAGATTATAGCTACATTCATATATGTAAGTAAAAAGTATGCATGGATAAAATTATGAATATGTGCATGTATGTACGTGTGCATTAGGGTGCATCACCTAAAAAACTTGCGACTTTTCAACCGAAATTATAAAATTTATTACATTTTATGACTTATGCCAAAATAACTCGAAAAATATTAAAGTTTACGTTAGCTAGATCGAATTAAAAGTACTTCCAAAGATATTGTTATTTTCAAAAATTTTTATTCAGGCTGATTCTATTTCAATTCATGCAGGGTGAGTGGCTTCAAAATTCTAAATCAAGTTTAATACGACTTTTCATGTTTTTTGGGACAAATAAAGATGGACGAACTTTTTTGTTTTGAAAAAAAAAATAAAAATTCGCAGAGTTATGAGCATCTGAAAATTTTAGGGCAGAGCGTGGTTTTAGAGAAAAACGGCTGACAACTGTTTTCAAATTTTTCTCGTTTCCTTTTTTAAATTAATATTTTTTAATTCGGTTTTTTGATTGTAGAAGTGTTTTTGATGCTCTATATTTGCATACTTGAAAATTAGAAAATTTTTGATAATTAACAAAATGGCGGCCGTTTTTGGAAAAATCAAAAGGCTCAATTTTCTCAAAAACGTAATTGTTAATTTTCTTGGAAACTTGTTTGTGGTTACTAGATAAAAGAGAGAACTTTTTCCAATAGGTTTGATGCCCGCTAAAACGCCTCGAAAGTCGTAAGAATTTTTTTTCTGAAAATAAGAATACTCAGTATTTTGCGGAATGTAGCGCCATGTATAATTCATATATATATTCTGTTTTTTGATCTCAGTCGTATTTTTTATGTTCTTGCTTTGCGATTTAAAACAAATTTAAAAACTTTGTTAATCTATCATCTGAGGTGATTTTTTAGAAAAATGTAGGTATATTTTTAAACCCTAATTATATTTATAAAAAAATAAATTTTTGGAGTTATTTTCAAAAAGGTTAAACTCACTTGAATCTTAATATTTTTTCATACTATTTGGGAGGAAGTCTTAAAATATAAGGCTTACTACATATCCGATGGATATACAGTTCTGATTTTTTTTATGGATAGTGATGCACCCATATGTACATACATATATGCATGCCTACAAATCTATGTATGTACAATATATACATAAATATGTACAGCGTAGGCTTCGTGGGTTTTCCTACTTTTTTATCTAATTAAGCTAGTTCGCTTCTCTAGCGAGCAGCAACGACATTTAAGACTGGGTCTGTGTGTCTACGATTTCTTAGAGCAAAGAACTCACACAAAAATAATAAATAAAAATAGTAGAGAAATAAAACAAAAAATATATGTATCTTCTTTCATATTATTTTATTCTTTACTATTTTATCCTCATCGAGTCAGCCTCGGTATTTCTCTTACCTGTGAGTTGTGGAATACGAATTAAATTTCAGGACATGGTCAACATTTGGACCAAATTTTACCCAAATCAGCCGTTTCGATATATAGAATAACTTATCTTCGTTGATAGTCTTTATACGTATCGATGCTCCTTTACAATAATGGCACAATTCAAAAGTGAAGCTCATATCTCTAAGACTTGTCTAGCCCTTGTCTAATCATTACTAGCTACTGTAGTAATACTTACTTCTTAAAATAGTATTATATAGAATTAGAGATATGAGCTACCTAACAGTAGTAAGGGATTTTATTTTTTCAGTTTTGAACTGTGTTGTTTTTTCAGAGGAACATCGATATGTATGATTAAAATTTTAGTTTCATATCAATGCCAATTTGTTATTGTGAGATTGCAATAACGCCGGGCCGAGGAGTGGTTTGCGCTATTTCTGTGTAGAAATTTTGAATTCAAAGCGGGGGCAGGCCCTGGTCAGCCAGTCGCGGGAAAAGAGTTATGCAAATAGTTGAGCAAGTATGGCATCGAAGCTGTCAGAAGGTAGCAGAGGCGCTAAAGATCAACCCCATGACACTTTGGAATCATCTAATAAAAGCAGGCAACTTAAAAAAGCTCGTTGGCTGGGTCCCATATGATTTGAATGGCCATCAGAGAAACGCTGCTGAAACTCACCGAAATTGAACCACTTTTGTCATTGTCAAAGGCCGATGACCCTCCACAAGCGACTTCAAAGCATTAGTTGACAGCAAGCAAGGATTTGTTGCGTGTTTGATGGGACTGGAAAGAAATGGTCCTTTAAGATGCGAAACTTACAATTCGGTTCACTACTGTGCAGAACAGAAAAGGTCATCCATCCATCAGGTCAATGCCAGACCACACGCATCTTTGCTAACTCGAAATAAATTCACGGAAGCTTTAAACCAATGAAATGATGAAGCTACATGCAAAATGGCAAGATGTAGTAGATAGTAACGGTCAATATGAAAGGGATGAAAATTGGTTATGCATAATTCAGAAATGAAAAACCGGCACATAGTGTGAATATATTTTTGAAAAGGGTTGCCACCTAATTTGAAAGTTGATGTTAAATAAATTATATTATATGTAAAATATTTTTTTATATTAACATAAAAGGAAAGGGTTTTAAGAAGGCTTTAGTTTATAAGTATGAAACTTAATGCCTTTCACCATGAAACGACGCAAATTTCGTGATAGTTGCGTTTGTGATTACGATTAACAAAGCCTTTAAACAGACATTGTGGTAGGTTTGACTATATCTTAAAGATGACTTACTCACGGCCAACAGCATGTAGTAGTTGAATTTAAATTACTAAACAAGTGGCAACCGTATTCAGAAAATTGAATAAATTCTTCTTAGGCAAAGAACACAGCGACGCGGCAAAGAGAGCGACAAGACATTTTTGGATAATAGCGGCGAAAACAAACCTTTATTTTTCAATGTGGCAGCGAAAAGAAGCGAAAAGCCAAGAAAGCAACAAAGAGCATAGCGATGAAAACAAAAAAATTTCTGATCTGACGGTTGCTTCACTATGTTTTGACGTTTCTTGTCTCTTTCTTCGCTATTATCCGAAAATGTCATGTCGCTCTCTTTGTCGGGTCACTGTGTTCTTTGCCTTAAACACTTTTGGATTGACACTTCAATGAATTCATTACTTAAAATATTTACTTTAGCTTATAACTTTTTTTAATTTTTAATTTCTAAACAAGTGGAAACCGTCTACAAAATCTTTTTTGAAATGAAATTGATTTTAAATTTCTAAAAGATAGACAAATCTGTCAAAAAAAATTTCTTAACTAATCGTTTCTAAAACCCTTGCGTTTGACACCCACTTTGCTGTAATATTTTATTTAGCTTATGACTTAATTGATTTTAACTTTAAAAGAAGTTGGCAACTTTCTTCAAAAAATGCTTTGTATGTTCATACAGGTTCCAACCTCTGTGTCAATTTTATTGAAATATTTTCAACCGGTTTAGCGTGAAAGAGCAACCCACATACTCACACAAACTTTTCTATTTACATATAATATGTAGCTTCGTTTCTTTAAAAACGGGTGGCAAAAGAACGCTCAACTCGGGTAAAATTTTCCTTTAGCTACTTAAGGAACCCGGT